ATTTGCACCTTGAAAAAGGACCCTTGTTAAGTGAAAACTCCATATTTAATGTTCCTGGAGCCAAGCCCCACAATTCCCAGCAAAAGTGCAGAATTTTGTTATAGAATGGGGCCAGACAGTTCTCCTTGAAAGGTTCAAAGCTAGCACCAGATACCACTCTTCTCTTCCTCAGATTGAATGAATCAGTCAAGAAGAATATCTGAATGAGCGATAGGCTTATCTTTAAACTTAAGTATTGCCCCCTAAGCGATACCTATTTTCATTGCAAATTTAGAACAGAAACTTCTGTTACCATCTCATCTCGCTAGATGCAAGATTCAAGTGAAACTTGGTAGCAGTGATTGACAACCAGATGCCCCCTGCGTGACAGAGGTTCCATCTTTGCATGGTTTTCCCTTTTGTCAATCTTGGTTTCCCAGCTGCCTAGCATATTTGATTTCAGTGAAGCCTGGGCAAGAACAGCTCAATGGTTTTCTGGCTTTAAAAGTGAAACAACAACACAAATGCAGCATAAGAAATCAAATGAAACATAGGTTGCCATTTGTCAAAAACAGCTCAAAGACAGAGAAAATAAATCAATTGATACATAAAATAACCACTTGCGTGAACTATTTTCATGAATCCTGACCTGTGGTATCAGAGTCAAAAAGACAATTGGACCTATATCATCATCAGTGTCTCCCAAATTCAAAAATATTCTTGCGAATGGCAAAAGCTGCAGCCAGTCAAGCTAGGAGCAGTTAGTTACACGTCTGTGTTTCTGGGAGCGGTGGTATCTGCAGTGCTCTAGAAGCTGCAGTGAAAGAATTTACGGTAATAGTTTGAGTGCTGCATTTATGAATGGAAAAAATACAAATATGAATGAAAAAAACTTCACATAAGCTCTTACATTGGCAAATATCGTACTCATTTTTGGGATGAAAATAATTCAAAATGATATTAACATCAAAAGAAGATGATTTTATGAAAACTGTAGTCTATGCACATATTTCATGCAGAGAAAAGATGAGACTTCTGCTTCCAAGCCTAATTTCCTCAAGAAGCCCATACATTTTATTGTCTGCCTGTCACAGAAACAAATGAATACTATTGTGCGAGAAAGATAACCAAATAAATTAACCATTTATTTGCCTATATGTATTATATTCACACATCTGCTGTGGTGCTTTCTAATAGCAAGAAACTTACCAAATATTTGTTCTGTGTGCCACTGTTTTCCAGGCTTTAATTTTAAATAAATGTACAGGGTATACAAATGAAACTTTCATTTGCTTAAATAGCAGCCAGAGCCTTTGCCAATCCAGGTCTTTCTGGAGCACAGACATGGCTATATTATTTTAAGGAGAAAACTGGAGTTTATCTGAAGCCTCAAGCATATTTAGGGTCAAATAACACTGAAGAACAAATGAGTGATAACATTTCCCTATGCGGTATATGAGCTAAAGATGCAGTACAAACATGTTGTTTTCATAATTTATCATTTTCCTTCTATTTTTCTCTATCATTGAACAGAATAGAAGTAGACAAAATACACCAACGCCAAAAGTTATCAGCATGAGATGCTATTTTTAAGTGGAGCATCTCTGAGCTCATTGTACAAGGAATGTTATTCTACTTGTTGCCTCCCTCTAAAAAGAGTAAATACTTTAACATTATCTCATTTTTAACATCCTGGCATGTTGATGGTCAGATGTGCTTCCATGCTCCAAGTTAGACTGGCAGAAATCAGAGCAGTGTAGGGGCTTACAAGAACATGATATTTAGTGTTTGGCAGGAGTTATTATCGTGGAGAGCAGAAGGAGACTTCTTCCTCACTTTCCTCCTTTATTTATTGTTTTTTCTCCTCTAAGTTCGGCATGAATCTAAAGGGCTAAAAACTAATTTAACATGACAACGTCTTTCATCACTCCCATAATCTCTGAAGTGAGCACTCTGACAAAGACAGTACGTTCAGTATATGCTTTCCTTCTGACACTTTATAAATTACCTTCCTGTAACTTGGTTTCACCACCAGCCCAGTATCTCCAGGATGTCCTAATTTGAATGGCTGATTCTACGTTCTTCAAATGCCGCCCAAGGAAAATGGGAATAAATCCCAGACTTTGTGAAATGACAAATCTCAAACAGGACTGGAGGACAATTAGTTCCAAAGGGTATTATGGACTGTGACTTTTTAATTTTTTAATTTTTTAATTAAGGCTGTTTTTATTTACCTGAAAAGACAATAAGAATGCCTACATCACTTAGATATTCTTTTATATCTTCTTCTATGATATGCTCTTTGCCTGTCTTTTTAAATCACCCCTTGTTAGAATTTTTTTCATGACACCATTAATCTCTGGCAGTCTAAAATTCAGATGTTTAAACCCAAGACAGCATATTTTCAATGAACTGCTTTGACTCCCACATCTCTATTAGGACAGTTCATTCAGAAGCCATGCCTATGAGAACTTCAAACTATTTTTTCAATATAAGTTACTTCTTATTTGCCAGCACTGTGTTTTTCATTTAGTCCAGCAGTAGTCTTTGCTACCTTTGATACAGTCATCTTCATGGAGTCTACTATTATTTTTAGCAGATGTATCCACAGCAATACAACTTCTGCTTTGGTGGAGAGCAAGAAATTTGCTTTTTTTGGACATGTGCAGCAGTAAAACATTATCAGTGCCTTTAAAGAGTCTCCTGTGTTTCCAGTTCTCACAGCAAAATACATTGGGGGAGCTAGTGCAACAGTGCTGCTCTTCCTCCTGCCTACCTTGGTCAAACTTAAATAACATCCTACGACTCTCAGTAGATTAACAGCTCTCACTTTCCAACTGTCTCAATGATTAGGATAGAACTGGGATTTTGGTCTGATCTGAACATTATTCTGATCATCCTGAAAACAGAAAAAACATTTTTTTCTTCTAAGAGAACTGGAACAAGACAGAGTTATTTTGTCTTCACAGCAGTTCACGGATTAGTAGGTCAGCAGCTCCAAAGCAAGCAGCAGAAGAGCAGACAGCTGGTATTTTGGATTGCTGCTCTTTGCCCAGGAGAGAGAATAATTATTTTTCCTGGGTCTGAAGTACTGCACATGCCCAGGAGAAGGCATCCCTCCAGAGAACTGCAGAACAAGGAAAGGTTTCTCAGGTTTCTTATAATAAGGAGATTTCAGTGCCTAGGGTCATAACATTGGAGGACAGCAGAGTCCCAGCAATTTGATGGCTGAATAAGCTTATAGCTGATGGTTTTAAGCACATCCTTTTTGCCATCCTGTTGTTCTCAAGACAATGTCTCAAGATATTGTCTTAAGACAATGCAATTTCCTTTCAGTTTTCTTTTCTTTTCTGTCTTTTCCAAAAAGACCTCAAAAACTTCTGTCAAAACGGATCATTTATGTCATGACTTGAAGATCATTCATCAATTGTTAAGGGTCTATATATAGTTTTACATCAGCTCTTGTCTTAAATGGTTAAGAAACAGTTGAAGGCAATAACCATGTTGCAAAGTTTTGCTTTAGATTATAGTAACCTAAATAATAGGAAAAAACACATCTCATAATTCATCACTTCAAAGTTATGCACATGATTAAAATATTCAGCTTGCAGTATATCATTTCCCCTGTGCATAATCACTCAAACAGAGAGTTGTTGTATGGTAACTGTCAAGTTCAATAAATCACGTGCTTTCCAATCTTCTTATTTATATATCAAACTAAGCCTGCTATTCTTCTCAGGTTTTCTACAGAAGAAACACAGAAAGTTGGTCAGCTCTGTAGTATTGAGTATGCTGGGATGCAGGCCTGGCCTGAAGAGACAAAAGCAATGAAGTAGCTCATCAGCTCTTTTTCACCTCACGTGTATTAATTACCTGTGGAAAACCATTAATGTGAAAATTGAAATCTCCACAGAAAGCACTATCTACACTCTTGAGTTGGGTTGTCTGGTCAAAAAATAAAAAATAAAAAAATAATCACTCTCTTGAAATGGTGGAAATAGGAAGAAAATTCAGTGCATCTTTACAGGGCTTTCACATATTATGCATGAACCTTGCTCTTTATGGTAGCAACATATTAATATCAACACAAAGAGTCTCAGAAATGAACAAAAACCCCAACATAATGGGTCTAGAAAGTATTTACAAGGTACTACAATTTTGCCATTTACTCAGGGAAGCTAGACAATCTGTGTAGCATGTCATTATCAACATATTGTTGAAGGCATTGTAAAAGGTACAAAATACACATCTAACTGGTATAGATCCTTTGAAAAATCTCCAAAACAACAGACAATGAGGAGGATATTGAAGGAGAAATCAGAAATAAATTAATCTAGTAAAGACAAAAAAAAAAAAAAAAAACCAAAAAAAACAGAAGCACGTTTAAAGAAAATCTGAAAAGACCACAGAAAGAATAGAACTTAGTGTCCTCATTATTAATATGCTAAATACAGAAAATAAGCACAAAATTTGAGTTTTCCTTATAAAACACTACGGATGTGTGGCATGCAGAAAACAATAGCACACCTAATGGATTTATCTTACTGAGGTCTAAAAACAAGACGAGTTTAGGCATGTGAAGAGATATAAACTGAGACTTATCATTCAAAATGATTTTGGATTTTTTTTCTCTAAATGCAGCATGCTATGGTGCTACTTCAATTCAAACACCAGTACCTTCGGTTACTCTTATGGATTCACTATCACCATTTTTGCAAAACATTTTAAAGCCAACATAGTACTTAAAAAAATCCTCATTCCATCAGTCCCTGTTTGAAGCACCTACGACACCTCCATTTAACAATGCATGCTGAGGATCCTGAATCAATGTCTTCTTCCCACTCTTATGACAGCGAACAGGACTTGAGAATTGTATTTTTCTCATTAACCAGTATAAAGAATAATAATTTTCTTTGCTCGGTAACTACGCAGATCTGCAAAACAGATTAAACCACCCTTTCATCTGCTCAAGTTTCATTTGCTGACATAGGCATGTGATTTGACATAGAGAACAGTCTTACCTATGAAATATGCTAGCAGGATGGCAAGCAGGACTGCAGCAGCAATTGCAGATAAAGCAGCACATTTCCAGCTACAATACTTGGAGGGCTTTTTCAGCTTGAATGCATTCCTGGAAAATGTATTTCTAGGTAACAGCCTGGGAGGTGGAGTGTAAACTGTTCCTGAGGTCAGTGGGTAGCCAGGGGAAGAGCTACTGAACAGCGGAGTCGTTCCAGAAGATGTCTTAAACAAGAAATGCCTGGAAAAAAACAAAACAAAACAAAAAATGGAACTACAGTTGAAATCTTGTAGTTATGAAAGAAAGTTATCTCCTGCTCCTAACCCAGATGACATAATGGATTAAATTCAAGAAGAAAGTAAAATGACTTTGCATGAAGAAATAAGGAAAATGAACACTCTCACAATCCTTTTGCCACCAAAAACAAACAACTGTCACTGAAACACAGTGCTGTCAGGATGTCTTCTGTCAGCATAACCTTCTGAATCGTTTTGAGATTAGATGCAGTTGGCCTGGATAGTAACTAAAACCCCAACATGACCAAAGTTTGAGTATGTTAAAACTGTGTCTGTTAGAAGGGGGAGCAGTCTGGTAACAGGGCTCATACTCAGATCTGACATTATAAGCCTTGGAAAAAGTTGCCAGCAAAAAATAAAATAATACAGTCTTTCTTTAAAAAGACCAGATTTACCAGAATTAGAATTAACCATTAAAAAAAAATAATAATTAGGGAGGGTTGGTTTGAACAACTATCATCAAAAGTGCTAAGCTTTGCAGAAATAAAACCTCTCGGACTGCCCAGACACTTGCTGAGCATCTCAAGCAAATTAATTCTGTTGTTTCTGTTTGCTTTTGAAAAGAAAAACAATTCAATTAAAATAACTGTTGGGAAATGATAGCATGAAGCTGGTGTTGTTACATGAGAGCTGCTGACACTTCTGTTCCTTCAGCCTGGCTAAACCTGACCGACAGCAGCAGAAGCAATTTTAGCACCTTTGGCAGCCTGCTGCTGCTGGGAGCACAGTGCTGCTCCGTGACAGGAGCTCGGGGCTGAAGCCACACGGAGCCTGAGGAAGGATGGACAGACAGGAGATGTGGTGTGAGAAAGGATGGACGGACAGACGTGGCGAGGCAGAGCAGACGTGGGTCACACACAGACAGGCCCATCTCTCCTTCCCACTCACTGCAGCTGCTCAGCCAGCACGCCTTGCTGGGTGGCCCTTCCAGGTCTGGACCTCAGGGTCTGCAGCAGGCGCTTCTTACTGTCCTTTCTCTCCTGCCCCAAAGCAGGAAATCACAAAATCAAACTGGAAATTGCAGTCCTTGGCACTGCCTTTATCTAAAATGTCAAAGCTTTTAACCCGGGAATGTTATGTGCTATGCAGCCAGGAAGGCAGCTGCAGTACTAACAGAAATTTTAATATAGCATTGTTAAAGTAAACTCAGATATATAATGAAACTCTGCTCCCATCAAAAATGAATGAATGAATATCTAGATGTGTTTTAATAGAACATGCCAATCATACACTGTTTCAGTGAGGAAAAAAAAAGGAAAAAAGCAGAAGAGTCCCACCATGGTCCACTTTTGGTATGTGAAGTATATAAAGAAAAGCAAAATACTTACACATGCAAACATGACCTCTGTCACTCTGTTCAGACTGCTCAGAACTTAATAGAAGTAAAAAGGCTGACAGAAATGGATATGAGGAAATATGCCATTTCCAAAGCAAAAAAAGAAAAATATATATACTTGAATAAACTAAATTTTGTCACACCTTCAACTCCTATCCATGTATTTTAAAAGCGGAAAGTTTGCTATCTCTATAAGAGGATTTCTGACAAAGTGGCAAACATTAGAAGATTTCATGCTATGTTAGAGTACAGTAATTACATCTTCAGAAGATTAAGAAAAAGACATTTAACTAAAGATATGTTAAACACCCACCGAGCCATTTTGGAAAGCTGCACTGTGTTCAGAAGCTGGAAAGCAGATTAGTGGAAACACCTTAAGTTATAGCAAAGCACACCAGAATGACTGAGAACATAAGGGACAAAACTTTTGTAGCCCCCTGAGTTTTAAGTTTAGTTTCATCTTCTAATGGAAATAAATTGACTTGTCTGAACTCTATCCCTAAAACCAATGATCTATAGCTGTATTTTTATGTGGGATTTGACATGCTCTGGTACAACCAATTGCCTGTGGACCAAAGCTGCAAAGCAAGAACACAAGCATTTATCAACATTAATTACATTCTCTCAGAGGTAAGACTGGAAGATATTGTACAATAAATAGTTATGGAGAGAAATGATCTTGTTTGTTTATATCCATTCACTTAATTTCAAGTAGTACAATTAAATAATAAACTGTATATTCCATGTTCATCTATCAAATACTGTAAGGGAAAACACATGAACCACTTCACTTAGGATTAGTATTTTGATTTAGATTGGGTCTAAATTTATATTTTGAAAACATGGGAATAGATTTGCTTATCTTAGCACAGTCTCTCTAGTTTCTGCGCATCACAAAGCATTTCTGTACAGGAGAACTACAAAATGCCATCACCGGTATGCAAAGCTTCAGTAATTTAAAGCTGTGGATGGAGTCTGCATGCTGCTGATGGAAAACCAGCTGGTCCCACAGCTCGCTCAGGGCTCTCCTGAAGCAGCCCCTGCCCCTCGGCCCCTTGCACCCAGGCACAGCAGAGCAGGGAGTGCTGCCTTGCATGCGGCACACTGCCAGCAGAGGTGACATCTGTGGGAGAGGAGCATGCAAGGGGACATTTGTCCACAGTCCTGTGGATTACTGGTAAATGGAAAAAGCTATAGTTTGCTTTCTTCATTAATTCAGAGCTCTCTATAGCATTTATTTTCCCACAGGTCAAAAGGACCTCTGGTGTTCAGGGAATAGTGGTCTGACAGAGCCTGTATTAACTTCCATACACTTTGAGAGAAAAATCTTTTTCTTCCCCCCTTCTTTATGGCCAGATTGTCACGGCAGCACGCTGCAAGAACCAGCTGAGAAAAAAAATCTATCATTTTTTGAGATGAAAAACTGTAATAGAAAGGAAGAACAAGGTACCATAACAGAAATTGCTTCTTTCACTCATACTATCCTAAGCTCATTCTGTATGAAAAAAGAAATACGGAGAGTTGTAATGCTTAAAGTGTCTTTTTCTATACTACCGTTTTAATAGGAATTAATAAATAGAAAAAATACATGCCAATAGATTAGTTTACAGCTCAATTTATTGATTCAAGGACTTACAAATAAATGATCTTTAAGCTCTGATAAAATCACATCCGATTATATTTATGTGATGATGTTGTGACATTTATTTGTTGCAGAAGAAACAATGCAACATGGAGCCCATGTATATGCCCACCTGTACTGGAAAAAAAGATCTAGTCTTCTCAACTCTTGTGCAGAAGAGTAGCCATGTCATTTGTGTCAATGACAGCCTGAAAGTGGCTGTCAAACTCAGGCAGCAAAGTTTCATGTTTTCTCACTTTTAGACAAAAAGAAACCAAGAACAAAGAAAACTATGAACTGTTCTAAAGCTTTTTTATGCTAAGAATGAACTCTGAGTGTTAAGCTGGCAGAAGATTTGGTTGCTTAAGGGCCTCAGTTGTCCCCCAAAGGAGGTTTAATAGCATGTCCTTGCTCTGGGGTTCTTGAAGGATTAGCAGCCATGCTGACACAACTGAGGGCTCTCAGAGGGGGAGGTGACTGCTCTACTCACCTCACTGCACACAGCAGGGTGTAGTACGTAGTTGGATGATACTTACAGAAAACATTAAGTAGAAAAAAAAGCTATGTGGAAGGAGGAAAGATTGGTTGATTAATCTCATCCAGACTACTAACTCCAAATTTACCAGTGCTCTAGATCCTTTTCATGTAACTCTTCTTAAAATAATCCACAGTAGATACATATGCTCCTATTTCATAAGAAAGAAATATTTTCAGATATGCTGCCTTACATCCAAAGCAGCTGAACCCATGTGAAAGATAAGTCCAAACATAGTGGAGTGTCTGAGAAAACTGAGGCGCGGAGGGCAGCGCTGAGCTCTGCTCTGTGTGACAGTGACAGGGCCCAGGGAACAGCATGGGGCTGTCAGGGGAGGGGTGGGTGGGGGTGAGAGAAAGACTTTGAGGGCGGTGGGCACGGCTCAGGGCTGCCAGAGTTCATAATGCATCTGGACAATGCTTTCAGACATAGGGCTTCTTGGGTTTTAGGTCATCCTGAGATGGACTCAGTGATCCTTGTGGGTCTTTTTCATCTGGGTCATCCTTTTCATCTGAGTCATTCTATGACTCTAGATATATTTTCAGTGGAGAGCTATTTAAGACACGTGTAGGTCAAAGAAGTGGCCATTTCACAGAAGCATACCAATGTGCAACCCTCACTCTCAAGTGCACAATGCAGACAGGCACAGCTGCAGCGTGCACAAGAACACAGCATTTCTGTGTATTTTAGCTCACTGCAGAAAATGAGTTTGCAACTAACTGTGCATGAAGCAGGAGCTATGGACACTCTATCGGGCATGGACACAATAATTCAGAATGGATATCAACAGTGAGGTAACACTTCTATCATTTCTATTCTCTGCTGTATAACTCAGAACATGGCAGCAGCTGCCAAGCCTCCAGCCAAGTTCTAACACCAACTTCCCAGCCCTGGAAGGGGTCGTGATTCCTTGAAGGCTGGGTTCACTATGTCCCAAGGCAATGCCTTCTAAAACATACAGAGTGTTAAGCAGAGTGTCATGTGTTGCCTTAAGTGCCAGACCAGCTTGTGACCGCCGTCTCGACTCTCAACAAAGGCACAGTTGGACTCACAAAAGCACAGTAATTGAAAGCTGCCTGGCAGGAAGGTGATATGTTGTACAAAAAAGGCAGGCACCAGCCTTTGGGCACCCTGATCTGTCATGTTATTAAACAAAAACAAACAGGCAACACTCCCAAAGCAACAGTAAAAAATAGATTTAAAAAAAAAAAAAAAAGAAAAAGAAAACAAACGAAAAAAAGAAAACATCTGTACTGTACCCCAGCAACATTCTTAGCTCTGTACTGGATACCTCTGATACCTTTTTACAGGACAACCTGCACCTGACCTGGGAGATGCTAATTAAGATATTGTTGGATAAAACCCCCTCTATCTCATGCCCCAGCTGTGAGCTGCCAGCTCCAGGGCTCTCACTGCTAGTGTCATGATACGAGGCATTACATGAGCCAGCAG